CGGTTTCGCGCAGGCCCAACGGTCGCGCGCGGCGCCCCCTGAGGGGGCTGGCAGGCTGCGCCCTGCCCCGTGGGATCGGGCGGATCATTCCTTTGGTGTCTGCCAGGACACTGAGAGCGCGGGCGCTCAGGGTTCTTCTTAATATTTTCAAGCTTCTTTTTAATATTTTCAAGTTCCTTACAGTTTTTGTCTGGTCTTAAAAAAAATCTGCGTTGACCAGGGATGAATAGACTGTAGGGGAGTGGGAAAAAGATTGTTAATTTATTTAATTTAATTTTGGTAAATGCATGGGTTGAATGGGAAAACATTTCAGTTCTGTTTAAGTGCCTTGAATGGTGAAACTTTTCTGTCATTCTTTATTTAAATAACGCGATCGCATTTGATGATGTGAATCATGGAGTGTTTAAAATGTACATATGAACTTCAAACGTTGGTCAATTGAGCGTTGCAGACAGCACCAAACTCAACCTTCCTGCTTATCCTCAGAACTAACCATGACTATAATAAGCCTAAGATCTTAAATTGATAAGTTTTGACTGTAATGCGTGTGCGGCACAGATACCGCTACCTGTTTCCTGTGACAGAAATCCCGTTTCCCAGGTCAGCGAGGAAATCTGCATAGCTCAGCCTGGAAAGCCAATGCTTTGTAGGTCCTTTTTTGTTGTTATTGGTTTTTTTTTTGTATCTGTGCAGAAGGAAAAATGTAAAAATTCATTAGTGTGATCAAAATTAAAGGGATTTCCTGAGGGAGATCAAATATTTCTAGGATTGCATTGCTCATTCAGCTATTTTCTTTTCCATATTCTTTTGGCATATTTTGGCAGGTGTGCGAAGTCCACAGATCTCTAAGTGCATACTCATGTTTCTGCACTTATCTGACTGACTGTTTCATACATTTTGGGTTAATTTTATTCCTTACCTCATTTTGACTTTCTGTGTGAACAATAGCATCGTACAATTCGTGCACTGTATATATCCTTATGTTTTATTTGCCATTTTAGAATTTTGGAACTGACTAAGTTTATTTTCAATTACTGTTGTGCTTAAAAATCCTGTCACCTAGTCTTTGGATATACTGAAAGTAATGGTTTTAACATCATTAACTTTTTTCATTATTTCAGAAAAATTATTTTTGAAAAGCAGTGGTTTTATCTGGATAATGCCATTGGACATATTTATGGAACGACATTTGAAGTGACTAGTGGTGGGAACCTCCAGCTGAAGCAAGAGATGGAAGAGACTGCCACAGGTATTTTGGAGGATTGGCTGATGTTTGGAAAAACTCATGCCAATTAATCTCTTTCTTTAATACAACCAAAGATGATGGAAAATAAGCTTTCTATTAATCATTTGTTAACTTTCATTACTTATATTCTTTCTTTCATAAAAGTGCATGGTTTTGTCTCGATCTGCTGTTTCGCTAGTCCAATGACAAAGAGAATTTTTTAATATCGGGAAAATTTGGAATTTTAGTCTGGGTCAATACTGAAGTCTATTTTACATATTATATTTAACTGATTGCTCAGGCAATATTATGCAAGACCACTTTATTTAAAACTAAAATCGTACATTTTTCCAGCTTAAAAATATTTAGAGCTAGATTTTACAAATATATATCCTTTTTCTTTAGAAACAAAAGAAGCAGGTACAGATAATCGTAACATAGTTGACGATGGAAAGTCTCAAAAACTGACTCATGATGACATAAAGGCTTTGAAGGACAAGGGTATTAAAGGACAGGTAACACTAAGGTTTTGGTCATTTCTGTGCTACCTTGATGGTTATATTTTAGTTTATGAAACAGGCTGTTCTTTTTAATGGTGTATAGACTTTGGTGCTTTTCCTTTGTTCTTCTGCTCAAGTCATGTTTTTCCTAAACATCTGTTTTTATAAAAATGCAAAGCCTATTTTCAGAGAAAACTTCATGTAAGGTTGGCAACTTTGTCAATAGGGACAATAGGGAATACAGTATGAATTTTTACTATATCTGAAGTCAGACAAAAAGGAACATAAAACAAGTTCAAAAATATAGTTTACACGATCAATTTAATTGTTTTTGCTTGTTTATAAGATTGAAAACAATTACTCCATACTATATTCCATACTATTACTAATTTCTAAGCTATAAGCATACTAAAGTCCTATAATAATTATACAGTCAAAGCTGTAGGAAAGTGTTTATACAAACACAAAATTGTTAGCAAGTAACATTATATATGTTTTGCGCTATCAGTCTGTCTCTGGATGGTACCTACCAAACTGTGATGCATGTATTTTATCTGCATCTCAAAAGTTCAAGAATATTCTCAAGGCACCAGTTCTGTATTGTTAGAGAAAGGGTGTTTTTTTTTTGTTTGTTTGTTTTACCCCACCCTTTGTTAGCTAGAGGTGAGGCTTTCTTGAATGTTAATAATCCCCTGCAGTAAGTGGCATTCTGCACCTACTATCAGACAAAATTCTCTCTCATCTTTGGTTTACCCACTGTAATAAAAGAGATTGCTCATGCTTACATCAAGTTCATCTCCTCTTTGCATCCTGCTCTTTGCTGCTGCCGTTGCGAGCAGCTGTTCTGCTTTTTGCCTGCTTAATAATGGATGGGTCCAAGCAGAAGCACTTTCCTGTTTCCATGGTTGAGCTGTTCCTGCTGTTATCACTTTGAGAAGAATGTACTAATCATCTGATAGCTTTGACATTTTCTGTTCTCATTATCTGTGTTGGAAGATCCCTCTGGCTCTTCTGTTTGTCCTCAGCATGTCTAATGTCATACATCTACTGTATTGTTAATACAGGTCATTAAATATCCTGCCTTGTTAATGGTGGTTTCTGAACTGTAGCTGTAAATTCATTTTAGACTGTGTTAATACTAGCAACAATAGACATTATTCTTCCATGAATGTGTGGTAAGATTTGAGTTAATATCCTGAGAGTGACATTGCTTTGTCAATTTAGAGATTGCTGGGGGTTTTTGTTTTTGTTTTTTTGAATAAAATAACCCCTCGCCCTTAATGGGGTTTGATTTGACATCACCTTCCCGGGTCCCAAGGAGTAGTTACTTAGTGCTGGGCTGAGGACTGGGAGCAGTACTGTGCTGCTCCCAGGGTACTGCATAATGGTGCAGCTCTACTAAAGAAATATTCCCAAGGTTTCTTCAAGGTAGATTTTCCTGACAAAAATCCAGGTGCCGTACTCAACTATAAGGCAAAAAAGACAAGATAAGGCTGCTCCACTCTGTAAATAATAAATTTTAAGTGTTTGAAAGACCTCAGGAAATAGTGTCCTGAAAAATAGCAACTTTAAGAAATACTTGCCTCACTACGTGTTGTATTGTATTCTTAAAACATAACAGGAAATGCAATGTCCACCTCACAAATATTCATTTTCTCATCCCCTCCCCAAATTCCTGTTAGGCCAGGTTATTCTATTGCTTTTCACACAGGTTTAACAGGAGCTTCGGTCTTTAGCCATAAACCTACTTTGAGCAGAGCAATAAAAAACAGCAGTGGTTGCATTGTTCTTTTATTGCAGACATAGTCATAAAACCTGAGAAGTGAAACCCTTTTTGTGTTGGGGTCTTAACAGCCCTTCCAGCTGTAATGTAAGAGTATGAGGAGGAAGAATTGGACCAACAAAGGGAGTATATTAGAACTAGATGATGAGGAGACAAAAACTAGAATTCTGGGGCAAACACGGGAGCTTGAGAAGGAAAGGAGTGTTATAGGAAATAGTAAATGCTGAGGAGTCTGTCATCAAGCAGGGAGGTAGTAGAAGACTAGCATAAATTGAGACAAAATTAGATGGGAAAGATGTCTGGTAAATAGTTAAATACATAGGAAGAACGGGAGCAGACCGGACAAAAAGATGGAAAAAGATGTCTTGGTAGACCCTGAAGTCAGGCTGAAACCCAGACAGATATAGAAAGTTGGATTAAAGTAAATGATACATATGACACTACATTCCCTGCCTTATTTTTGTCAAATATTTTTGCCTGTGTAGCTTCACACAAGCCTTAGTAGTTTATTTGCAGGGCCATAACTTTTTGGGAAATGTTAGACTGAGTATATATGTCATACAAATAGCATATCTATATGTCATATATATATATATATACACACACTATATATGTCAATTGTCCCATAATATATAGTATATATATATCAGTTGTTCCATAATAACTACCCATAAATGCAACTCTGCCTTCATTTTCAACACAGAATAATTAAAAATATCTAATTCTGAGAAAACAGGATATTGTCCTTTCCTTCACATTAAGCAATTTATCATTTATACCAACTTATACACAGGAATCAGCATCTCATTTTAAAAGAATAGCTACACCTCTTCCTTCCCCACAAAATACCATTTCAAGGATCAACATGTTCAGTTCGTTATTTTTATGGAGACACTATATATTTAACAGGGTTTTTTTAAAGTGTATAATTAAATTTCTTTGCAGAGCCAGGGCAGTTCTCTCGCTTTTTTTATGT